AATTAATGTTAAGCAACTGAATGATGATAAATCATCGGTTCACCCAGAACTGTAAGACTTGGGATCTCTGTTGAGATTCTTTGACGAATCTCTTGACAAGACTCCTGTTGTCCTTATGTACACTGTGAGGTTACTGATACCAGATACACAGACTGTGGGATGTTTGTGGTATTGAAACAGTGTGGATGGATTCTCATCCTGCCATGAGCAACGTGGAGGATTAGCCCAGAAGTAGAGGCTTGAGAACCGCACCCCGCCCCCGGCCCCCGCCACCCACAACTGTGCAAGCGTCACCACTAAGCACTCAAAGATGATATGGTCTGGGTCTGGTTTGGGTCAGAGATGAAGCAAGTGCTGCCAGAAGGACTGTAGGTACAGCACATTAACCAGAGCCTACGTGTGCTCCACGAGCTCACCATGGTAGCTGAGGCAGAGCGTAGAGTGGTTTCTTTAGCTGCCGAGGACTGTAGACAGTAATGACCACAGTTGACCATCCTTCCTGGTCCCCAAGTTCCAAAGTTCCAAAGAAATATGTTGGACTCCTCCATCTTCCCTTATTTTTGGTCATCCCTCAAATCTTACAAAATCATTACAGCTGCCCTTCACAGCCATCCCGCCCTTTCCATTTTCACAGTGCCCTTGCTCGTCATGCTCTCGTCAGTGTTTCTCCGACAAGGCAGCAGCCTCCTAATCTCCTTGGCTTTCGTCCTTTGTGACTGCCAAGGCTCTTGAATTCCCTCAGAGTGAAGGATTCATTGACATTCAAAGCCTTTCACCATCTGGCTTCTACCTAGTTTCCAGTCATTTCTCCCATGAGCCTTCTATTCCCATGAGATTGTTCCACCAAGAGTTGCCTAACCATATGCCTTATTAAGCGTTGCTCCCACACCTTTGTTTGTATTGCCCCTCCCACCCTGGATGCTTTTCTACTGCCTATCCACCATTCCAAATGTTGCCAGTATTTTCCAAAACTGCTCAAGTCCTCCCTCTTCTTTAAAGCCTTGCTCAGCAACTTTGCCCACACTATTGCTTCCTTTTTAAAAACATGGACAAAATTTAATAGCTATACAACATTCTTCATCTTGGATTTAGAGGTACTTGATATGAGGTTCCATAGACATCTTTGTGGATGTCTATGTCTTATTCCCAAAATCAGAAAGTAGGGTCCTAGTGATCAATGCATTTCCATTGTACCCTTATAACAACCAGGATAGCCCCTTGGCCTTAAACAAAAGCTTAATAAATACTTGTTGGATATAATGAAGTCATTCAAGAGAAAAAAATCAAGGAAGACTTTTCTTCCCCTGGATACGCAGAACTGAATTTAAACTTAATATTTGCAGGATGGCTTTACATCCTGTGATTGCATCTAGAGGACGTTTTCTAAAGCTTCACTAAAGCAGTTTAAGAAGCAAAATCTTATTTCCCTCATATAAAGTGTTCTTGCTTACTTTTGAACATCATGTAACCTGAGATGGGAGAGAATCAACTTCCCTGGTTAAGAAGAAACAAGCATGTTGAGAGTTCCTACTGTATTTTAGGGAGAACTAATGACTTTAGCAGTAAAGTATACTGCATACTTTAGTAGCATACTGCTAAAATCATAAAAAGTCATACACAAATTATAAATAAGTCAAAAACAAATCAGGGACAAATTCATATGTTCTGATTTATTTTTCCTATATCATCACCACAGGTGATTTTTAAATTATTTATATATGCATGTATATTTATTTATTGTGGATCAATGTTCTTTAAATCGGGATAAGATGGAATGAGGAAAGGGGACCATAGCTGTTTCCTTTCTGGCAATCCTACAAATATTACAACTTGTCATTAATTGAAGGCATTTTATAGAATTAAGATCTGGCTCATTTCTCATGTCAGTGGAATCTCTAATGATTTATTCACAGGTTCATTTCCCAGAGCTTGTCCAAAATTTCTGAACATCTGACATCTCCCTAGATGAGTTATTCTGATGCACCCTACCTTCTAATATTAAACTACTTCTATCCTTGTTTCAAATGCCCTTATCTTTCTAATGTTCTAATGTTATAGTAACTTACAAAAGTACTTCTAGATCTCAAAACCCTAGGGAATAAGCATTCAGCAATGACCTTCTAGAAGTAATCCTCTTTCCTTTACCTTCACACTCTAAAACTTTCCATTCTATTAGGGAAGGAGATTTTCCCTCCTTTCCCTCCAGGGACATATTAGAAATAAGTTGAAAGATAGTACCACTTCTATTAGAAAAATATTTTTTTAAGATAACCTCCCCCAAAAGCCTGTAAGGATTTAAGTAAGTGAGACTAAGTTCCATTGACTTTGTTGAACTCACAACTTTAAAGGATCTCTTCCTAATCAACAGTTCCAAATTGCTCTGTATGCAAAACAGTGCAAGGGCTCATTCTGTTTTTCAGAACGTTTATGCTGTCATTAATTAAATAAATAAACTTTAACAGCCTTCATTAAACTTTAATAAATCTAATTATGGTTGAAATTGTTGGTTGTGCTAATGGCATGTGGTTATGGGAAAAAAATGTCATTAGTTAAAGACATTCTAAAGAAATTATAGATGAAGTGTCATGATGTCTGGTATTTGCTTCACAATATTCCAGCCTAATAAAGAGGGGAATAGATGAACTAAGGCTGGTAAAATGGTAAAGTGTTGAAGACTGTTAAAAGCCGGATAATGGGTACATAAATGGTTATCATACTGTTTACTTTTGTGTGTGCTTGAAATTTTTATCTCAGTAAAGAGACTTAAAACCAGGAAGAGGCCTGCTAACCTGGAAATGAAAGACTCAGATGAGACAGAATAGCTACTCTCCAATATTTGAGGAATTATTTCTCAAGGAGAGCAGCTCTGTTCTGTGCAACTCAAGAGTGAACTAGAACCGGTGAGCAAAGTTTCAAGGATCCAGATTTCAATTCAACTTGTAAAGAACTTTTAACAATTGGAGCAGTATTTTTGTGGAATATGTTATTCCTTTGAAGGAATTTATACTGAGGCCACTTAGTGAAGTTTGAGGGATTTTTGCATTGCTGGCTCAAAATGTCATCCAGGGAATGGTGCTGGTCCACGCATTCTTTTTTTTTTTTTCCCTTGAGGTTTATATTTTCATGATTTTTTTTTTAAAGATTTATTTATTTATTTTTGAGAGAGTGAGAATGAGAGAGAAAGAGTACATGAGAGTGGGGAGGGTTAGAGGGAGAAGCAGGCCCCTCACCAAGCAGGGAGCCCGATGCGGGACTCGATCCCGGGACTCCAGGATCATGACCTGAGCCGAAGGCAGTTGCTTAACCAACTGAGCCACCCAGGCGCCCTTCATGATTTTCTTTTACCACAATTTAACTTTTGAAATCATGTTTCCTATCAATTAAAAACACATTACACTACCAGAAAATTGCATTAATAAAAGGTAGATGACTTCCATTTTTATTTACCAAATTGTTTATGTGCCTATCTGATATATTCACAGATGGAGGAGGGTGACCACTCCCCAGATTTTTTTGTGTGTGGTAAGAACAATTACCATGAAATCCTCCCTATTAATAGATCTTTTCAGGGTACATTACAGTAATACTAACTTTAGGCCCAACATTGTTCAGCAGATCTCTAGAAATTAATCATCTTGTGTAACTGAAACTTTATACCCACTTCCTCAACTTCCTACTTCCCTAACCCCTGGCCATCACCATTCTACTCTCTGATTTTGCGTGTTTGACTACTTTAGATTCCTCTTAGAAGTAGTATCATGCAGTATTTGTCCCTCTATGTTTGGCTTATTTCCCTTAGCATAGGTTTATCCACGTTGTTGCTGATGGTGGGATTTCCTTCTTTTTTAAAGGCAGAATAATATTTCACTGTATGTGTATACCACATTTTCTTGATCCATTCATCTGTCTAGAGACATGTAGGTTGTTTCTCTCTCCCGGCTGCTGAGACTAATGTTGCAATGAACATAAGGGTGCAAATAACTCTCCGAGATCCTGATTTCTACACATTCTTTGGTAGTAGCTCACAACAAGAGAAGGAGCTTGTGCCAGATTGCAAACTGATGCACTGCTTCTTTCATCAGTAAAGACCTGCTATGGAGAGAAAAGGCCAGCAGAACTAAACAAAGTATTAAGTGACATTCTTGACTATTTTGACTGTTGCTGCAATGGAAGGAATTTATCCATTAAATAGTCATAGGGACTTTTCACAGTAATCAAATTATAGATACAAAATATCTATAAATGGAATGTCCTTATTAGCCCTAAGATTTATATTTCCCCAATTGAAACATATTGGAAAGCCACACATCACATTAGTATAAAGTTGCACCCAAAAAAAGGATCATTGCTGTTCCCTGGAAATTATTGTGAAGCATCTATTATTTGGACGTGCTCTAGGCAGAGATGTTAGTTAGGTTGAATGCATAATATATATATATTGCATATGTGTATGTGCTGCTATTTTAAAAATATAGATTCTGTTATGATTATAAAATAACTCATTTTACTTGTTTCAAGTTTTTGTTCAAGTTCTCTTTAGTTAACATACAGTGTGGTATTAGTTTCAGAAGAATTTATTTTAAAGTGCCACTGAATTAAAAAGAGCTCTCCCTTATGTATTTTCCCAAGCATATATACTAAAGGTACCATCTCTATTACGAAGAAGTCCAAAACACGTTTCATGTGATAAGGGTCCTTAAGTTAATATATTGCTAATCCTACAAGGCTTCTGCGTACAGCTGTATAGGTTGCACACTGCAAAAATCACGGGAGAAGGGAGCTAGTGGAAGCTGAGTTCCGGCCCCCATGTGCTTATCTAGCCATGAGCCCTGGTGGTGAAACTGCGTCAGGTCAAGAGTCACCCATGATCCCAATTTGCCCAGGACGGCCATATGTGCTAGCTTCAGGCTTGGACTCTTGCCTATAGAACTGTAGGTTGGAAACAGCTGAAAACAGTGAATCCATTTTCACATCACTTCTTTTCTCCTTATGTTTTCAAGGCGAAAGAGCCATGTAATCATGCCAGCATCCTGACCAAGCCTGACCCAAGAGCCTTCTGGACTAATGATGATTCAGGTATTATTGGAAAAATGCACTCTGGCCCTGTGATGTACAAGAAGCATTCTGTAGTAAAGCCCTACATAAAGGCAAGGTTTGGGGAGAAATTGTGTTTTGCTTGTTTGTTTGTTTGTTTATACCTAGTCCAACACTTGACTATACTTCACAATCAATTATATATATGTGTATATATATATGTACATACATATATATGTATATGTATATATATGTGTATATATAATACAAGTCCCTTTGTTTTATTTTTTAGTATCTAAAGCATATATATGATCAGGCATAGATTTATGGAGTGTGAAATATCTTCAAGCATTGGGGGTAACAGAGGAATGAGTCTATTTCCTGGAGGGGAGGACAGAGGTAACAGATAAGGTGGGCAAATACACTGGCCCAAGTTTCTCTTCCAGAGGAAGAAGTGGATTAAAAAAACCCAGGGTGAGTCACACTTGAGAATACTTAGTGGAAGGCAGGCATGACTTCTATCCAGGGGTATAAACTTAGTCAGAATCAGAGGAATGTCACTTTCTGAGATCAGAGAGACTATGCTTCAGGATGTATAATTAAAAATCACCCTCAGACAAAGAGTATGGTATGGAAATGGAAGACTTTTTTTTTTCTTTTTCTTTTTTTTTCTTTTTCAGAGTTGGGACACGAGGCCTAATTGCATGAGGTAAAGACCCACTAGAAATAAAAAGAGAAGGTTAAGCCAAAGGAGCTAAAATACCTAAGAGAGTGTTACTAGAGCTTTCACCTTTTCTAATTAAATAAGATCTAATTCAATGAAGAACAGTAGTAGAGTAGTAGAGATGATACCTCATATTTGTATCAGGCCTCACAGCTTAATGAAGCGCATTCACAAGAATCTAATTTATGTGTTTTCGGCAACCCTGTGAAATAGGAGGGGCAGCCTATCCACACTGTCCCTGTGTGAGAGATAAAATCAGACCCTGAAAGAGGTTGGCTGACAGATCCAAAGCTCATGACCAGAAAATACCAGAGCTGGGAGTAGGTTGGAGAGCCTGCTGGCCCAGTTCTATAACATGCTTCCTTAGAGAAAGAAGCTGTCTTGTGAGAACCAACGTGGGCTAAGTCTCTGCTTTAATCTTTCCTTTGTAAAAGAGAGTCAGAGACCATGCCCATTGGCAGAAGCTGGAGGGGGGCCGAGGAAGGAAGTACAAAACCGTCTCGTGTCTTTTTTTTTTTCAAAAGACCAGGTTTATAGTCTAAACTTACTATCACTTTTCTCTGTCAAAAAAATTATTCTCTCTTGTTTTCTGCCTTTTGAACAGAGATGAAAAGCACAAAAGTGAATTGGCCTATTTATGCCATCATTTCGGGCCATTAGTGGTACAACCGCAGAATAAACAAGCCATTCCCTGGCTAACACCCCTATTAAGACCCGCAGCACACATGGTGGGAAGAAGCTACATAGAACAAAACATCCCAATTAAAAAACAAAAATGTTCTTAAAATTATGTAGAGACTGGAATGGGAGGGAAATCTGTACAGAAAATAGTGTTCAGGCACTTTTTGGAGCTGGAAAAATTATGTTACAAGAAAAACTAATGCAGTGGGTGCCTGGGTGGCTCAGTCCGTGAAGCGTCTGCCTTCAGCTCAGGTCATGATCCCAGGGTCCTGGGATCAAGTGCCGCATCAGGCTCCCTGCTCAGCAGGGAGTCTGCTTCTCCCTCTCCCTCTGCCCCTCCCCCCGTGTGTTCTCTCTCTCTCTTTCATCTCTCAAATAAATAAATAAAATCTTTTAAAAAAGGACAAGAAAAACTAATGCAGAACATGTAGAGAAATAGCAATAGAAATACTTCAAATCTACTCACTTAAAAAAATTTTTTTTAATTATTTTTGTGTTATCAGTGGGGTCACAAAGATACTGTGTCCCCTCTGCAGTGGCTCATCTAGCAAAAAGCTTCCCCAGTAACCAATTCCTAGACTAAGGTCTATGTCTAGTGATCTTGTGGGGAAAGGAAAGGGATTCATTGTTCAGTCAATTCCTGACACAGGGGTATTAAGATCTCTATCTATGGTGGTGGAATTATCTTTGGCTTCTTTTAATTCAGTCAATTTTTTTTAAAGATTTTATTTATTTATTTGACAGAGAGAGACACACAGCGAGAGAGGGAACACAAGCAGGGGGAGTGGGAGAGGGAGAAGCAGGCTTCCCACAGACCCAGGACCCTGGGATCATGACCTGAGCTGAAGGCAGACGCTTAACGACTGAGCCACCCAGGTGCCCCAATTCAGTCAATTCATATATTTCAAAGCTCTGATACTAAGTACATACATTTTTATAAGTTATAGTTTTCTGATGAATGGATCACATCCCACTTTACCTCTGGTAAAAGGCTTTGTTTGAAGTCTGTTTTTTTCTGATAATAATACAACCAAGCCAGCCTTCTCATGCCTACACTTCACGTGGTATATCTTTTCTACCTATTTACTTTCAACTTATCTGTCTGTGTCTTACAGTTAAAGTGCTTCTCATATAGACCTCTTATACTTAGGTTTCCTTTTAAATCCTACCTGAAAATCTGTGTTTTTGTTTTTGTTTTTATTTGGAATGTTTATGTCTATACCTATATATAGATATATAATGGATATTATTCAGTCATAAAAAAGAATATGTATACCACATCCTTTTTATCCATCCATCTGTGGGTGGACACTTAGGTTGCTTCCATATCTTGGTTATCATAAATAATGCTGCAATAAACATAGGAGTGTATATATCTTTTCAAGTTAGTTTTTTTGTTTTCTTTGGGTAAATATCCAATAGTGGAATTACTGAATCAAATGGTATTTCTATTTTTAATTTTTTGAGGAATCTTCATGCTGTTTTCCAGAGTAACTGCCCCAGTTTGCAATCCAACCAACAGTGCAAGAGGGTCCAACACTCATTATTTCTTGTGTTTTGATTTCACTCTGATAGGTGTAAGGTGATTGTGGTTTTGATTTGCATTTTCACATGATGATTACTGATTGTCTCTTGGCCATCTCTATGTCTTCTTTAGAAAAAGGTCTATTCAATTTCTCTGCCCATTTTTAAATCAGATCATTTGGTTTTTTGGTGTTGAGTTGTGTAAGTCCTCTATATATTTTGGATATTAACCTTTTATCAGATATGTCATTTCAAATATCTTCTTCCACTTAGTAGGTTGCCTTTTTGTTTTGTGGATGGTTTCCTATGCTGTGCAAAAGCTTTTTATTTTGGTGTAGTCCTAATATTTATTTTTGCTTTTGTTTCCCTTGCCTCAGGAGACATTAGACAATGTTGCTAAGGCTGATATCCAAGAGATTCTGCCTATGTTTTCTTTAAGGAGTTTTATGGTTTCAGATCTTGCATTTAGCTTCCATAGGTTCCATACAGATTTTAAGATTATTTGTTCTAGTTCTGTGAAAAATACTATTGGTATTTTGACAGGGACTGCATTGGGTCTATAGATTTCTTGGCGTAGGACATTTTGATGATATTAATTCTTCTAATCCATAAGCACAAAATATCTGTATATAATATGTCATCTTCCACTGGTTGCTTTAATCTTTTTAATCTTTGGTTTTTGTCAGTCTGACTATGATGTGTCTTAAGTAGGATCTGTGTTCTTTAAGATGTAGACCCCTCAGGTTTAGGAATTTAAACATCCTTCTAGTCTATTAGTAGTTTTCTTAGAATTTGAATCTGAAGGATGCAATTATTTCTGCTGTGGTTTCTACACTTCCCGTGTCCTTTGTTCTTCAACATATCAGCAGTCCAACTAAAACTTTTCCTAAATGCCTTCAATTCTATTAAGTGTAAACACAAGCTAAAGCAACTTTATAGCCATCCGTCTGCAACATGCAAATGTGTGAGCCTATAAATGCATCTAGTCACAGTATGAATTTTGTTATGGGCAACTTTTACCAACTCCTGAGATAATTGTGATAAAATTATTCCATCATTTCCTACAGCAAATATATTTCAGCAAATGGCCTATTTCCATTCAAAGCTAGCCATCATCAGAGTATTTTACTTATTTGACCTAATGTATATATAGTCTCTTGATACACAGTTTAAGTAGAGTTAAATATTAGGGGTAATTAGTCCACATTGATAGAAAGAGATGCTAAATTTTAAAATTCTTTTGTTTTGAAATAAAAGCTTACTGAGGGTTTGTGCACCCTGAAACCTGGTGAGACTGTCTAGATATTTCATACTCACTGTCTTTTTGCATGACTATCAGAGGACAGGACTGGCTTGCTCAGTTGCCATGCGCAGATATGGTAGCTGGAGAAACAAAAGTAATTTTTAAAAACTTTTTTTTTAACATAATATAGAAATAGCATTTCATCATAGGAAAGAAATGGAAAATAGAGAAAGGAAGAAAATTAATCAGCCATAATCCTACCACCCACACTTGTTTTCATTGGACTGGACTCTCGCGCATTCCCAGCATTTGTCCTGACAATGAACAAACAGGCTACACAAGTTTAGGTTCTTTCCTATTTTCTTTGTTTTTAGGCTTTGAAACCTGAGTTGTTTGTTTTTGCACACCTTTGTTTTTCGACTGCTCGTCCTTCAGTGGCCTGTAACATTCTCTTAAAGTAGAATTTCCAGGTAGGATGAGTTTCTCCACACTTGCAAAATGTGCGTTTTTCCCAGTACTCATACTAGCTACACAGATAATGCTCTTTGCTTAGAGGAAGTCAGATAATGAAGTGGTTAAACAATAAGGTTTCTTTTGCAAAGGCATGATTTTAACTGGGCACTTGATTTGCCAGGTAGGAAAATGGAACCCTCTGATGTTCTCTCTGGGCTTTGATTTAAAGTCACCTTTTCACAAGAAAATGTAATTCTACCCTTGGGATTTTCAGAATGTCTACATTTCTTTCAAGCAAAAATTAAAGTACAAGAATCATTATTCTGCAATTTTTTTCCGGAGGGAAGAAGAAGTGAATTTTCTCTTCTGTTTTTCAGGATTACACATTGTTTCTTTATATTTTCTAATGAGTCATCA